GATGCACTTTCAGGAAAGCTTAAGGGGCTTCTAAACATTTCTTGAGTTGCAGTAGGGCTTTTATTAACATCCCCTCTCTTAAAGGAGCAAGAGTAGCTCATTCTGTGGGTCAAATTGAAGGAATCGGAACTGCAGAGCAAGAAAGTAGAGCTTCCTCTACAGCCAAATGGCTGCCAAATAAGCAAGACAACACTGTCTCAAGCCTCTCCACTGCTTTAAAAAAGATGCTAAAGCAATAATCTGCAACCTCAGAGTTGAAATGTGTGTACAGGTAGAGAGCTATGGACTGCATTTAAGACAATGATCAAGCTTCCAAGCAGAGAGAAATAGAGCAATCAACCACCTCTTTGCTCCTAAGAAGCCAGACCACTGTGGCATAATTGTGGCCTTTTATGCTTCTTTTAGTGGTGGCAGCCTGAAAATGAGTAAGCTAAGATAAGTTCAACCTCAGTGGGTGGCACCAAGAGCAGCCTGTCCCAGTGTCTTTGTAAATACCAAGATGAGAATGAAAGGGCCAGAAGACTAATTGTGCCTCCATTAACTCATCACTGACAAAACCGCCACTGTAGGAGGGCCAAGTTGGCACCAATTGAGCCTGTAGTGCAAATAATTCTGGAAAACAAATAACTGGGGAAGTCCCTCCCCGCACTTACATGCACAGGAACCCTAGGCTGCAGGTGGGGGCTGACAGCAAGTAACACCACTGCTGAAACATCTGCACTGGCTGCCCAAATGTTATCAGACCAGGTTCAAGAGCCTGGTCAAAAGCCCTGGACAACATAGGCTCAGGATACCTTAAGGATTGCATGAATTCTTATATCCCAGCCATAGGAGCCAACTCCTAGAGGCCAAGAGGGCTCCCCCCATAAAATATTTGAGGAGGGTGTCCCCCCTAAGTTGATGGGCATTGCCATTCAAATGGTGAGTGTGCACCATGTCATGTGATCAAATATGTGGGGCTGGGCTTACCTGGTCCCCCCTAATATTTTATTCAAGTTGGCATCCCTGATCCCACCTCAATCAGTTAGATCTTCCAAAGGAGAGCTGCTAGTTTTCCCTCTCGTGTTATAGACAGTCATCTGGCCTCCCCTAGAAATCAGGGATTTAGTGCCACCAGTTCAATGCTGTGGAACACTTTTCCAGCTTTCATTTGGCAGTCATCCTCGTTTTTTTGATTTTCAGGCATCTCTTGAATTCCCTTTTATATAAACAAGCCTATGATTAGCCAGTAGTTTTAATGATCTTTCTGCCCCACTGTTTTTATGGTGTTTTATATTTATCACATGTGTTACTGTATGTTACCTTCCATGAATTGGCAGTTTATAAATGCTTTTAAAATAAATCAGACTGATTTGTTTCTTCTGCTAAATCAGTTGCTCATTCCCCTAATTATTTTGTGTACCTTCTTACAAACAAACAAACAAGCCACTGTCTTGCAATACCTCTACAGGTATTTCTGCTCACTTCAGTGAAACAAGATTTCTTTCCTCCCACCCTTCTCAAAGTTTGGAATAGCTGAATATGATTAATGGACGTTCAGTTTGGTGAGCAGGGAAATCTATACTGATTCATTGACAGTTTGTGACAGAGGAGTGAGAAATCCTCAGGTTATAAATGAATCATGTCATTGTTTTGACTCTGAAAAGAATTAATTTCTCTCTCTCTCTCTCTCTCTCTCTCTCTCACACACACACACACACACACACACACACACACCCCAGTAAAGTCTGACTTTGCCAAGGTTGGGAGTGGGTGGGATCTCTGCAGACTAATCTGATGTTCTCTTAGGACATGGGGTCATACCCAACTAGGCAGTTCCACTTCTGCATGGATTTTTAGATGTGCCATGGAACTCCCCACACTTTCCTCTCCCTGAGAGAGCCCTAAATTTGTTTTTTGGGCTCCACCCAGAGTCAACCTTGCCTATGAGGCTTGGTGAGGAGGCCGTCTCAGATGGCACCCCCCTAGGGGCATCACTCCCCCTTCTACCACTCAGCATTACTGTTGGTTCCCCCAGTCTCTGGAGGCAGAGAGGGGCTGGCAGCAAAGCTTTCTGGAATACCTCCCTTCCTGCTGTGTTGTCAAGAGGAGCAGCATTCCACTACTCAATTTTGACACTGGGCAGGAGATCTCCACCCACCTGGTGGTGTGGCAGGACTTTGCACCAGCTTCTCCTGAAGGGAGGAGCCAAAACAAAGTTCCACTTCTGGGTGGGAGGGGGCAATCTGAAAAGGATCTCCATCCTCACCCAGTGTTGCAGTGGAGCTTTGCACCGGCATCACCTGAAGGGAGGGTCTGATGCAAAGTCCTGCTGCCAGGGCTAGAATGGATCTCTCACACACCCGGTGTGGCAGACTGGAGTTTGCATCCCCATTGTGGGGGCAGCAGTGGGACATTTCACCTCAGGTGCCACAGACTGCATAACTAAATAGTCTGGTAAGATTGCCATTTGAAATCATAAAAAACACACATGAATGTGGTCCTCATGGAGCTAACAATATGAAAATCCAGTGCTAACTGAAGAAGAATCAGGAAGGAAGTTAAAGGTCAAGGACCCCTGGATGGTTGAGTTGAATTCAACTATGGAGTGTGGCACTCATCTTGCTTTTCAGGCCAAGGGAGCAGGCGTTTGTCCACAGACAGCTTTCCGGGTCATATGGCCAGCATGACTACACCGCTTCTGGCACAATGGGACATCTCATGGAAATGCAGTTTACCTTCCCACCACAGCGGTACCTATTTATTTACTTGCACTTTGACATGCTTTCGAACTGGTAGGTTGGCAGGAGCTGGGACAAAGCAATGGGACCTCACCCCGTCGTGGGGATTCAAACCACCAACCTTCCGATCAGCAAGCCCCAAAGGCCCAGTGGTTTAGACCACAGCACTACCCACTCCCTTTAGGAAGGAAGTACAGCCTGAGGAAACACACTCTATCAGAAGTGCTAACTTAAATAAAATATTGAGGGGTGAGCAAGGAAAGCGGAGCATGCACACTATTTGAATGACAATGCCCATCAACCTTGGGGGGGGGCAGCCCTCTCAAATATTTTATTGAGGAAGTGATGGGACCTCAGCCCCTAGGAGGTGACTCTTATGCACTCTACACTGCAAAAAATGGTCACTCAAAAAGAAGACAATTGCCTTCTCTATCTATTGCCCACTGCTGGTTCAGGTAATTTATTGCAAGTTATGCTGTTTTATGCCTAGCAGCCTCTGTTGCAGTTTTAAAGGGCACATAGAGTGCAAGTGGGAAGAAGACAGGATGGAGAAGGTCCATTGTGCAGCTAAGAGTCCTTGTCCTACCAGAAATGTTTAGGGATCCCATTTTTTTACATTACTAAAAGCAAAGGAAAATGGACTAAATCAGGGATGTGGAACCTGAGACCCCCCCCCCCCAAATATTGTTTGATTACAACTCCCATCGCTCGCTGACCATTGTTTATGCTGACTAGGGTTGATGGGAGCTAGAGTCTAACAGCCTCCTTATGGCCACAGGTTCCCCAACACTTGGCTGGATCCTACACAGTTAGCAAATGATATGTCATGTCAACTGTCAAATACTTTAGAATGTCACATATGGAAATCAGGAAGCAATGCATGTCAAATACTGACACTGTGTGAATAAATGGCATCACAAGAGAGGGTTTGAAAGGAAATTTAACGGGGAGGGGGATTAGTTTCACCTCTGTTCTAAACCCAGCATCTATAGGATAAGGTGGCAAAGAGAGGTTTAAAAAAAAAAAAAAAATTGTGATAATTCATGAGTAGACTTGTGGCTCAAATGAACCTTGGGGTATTTCACTGGCAAGATCTGTGAAATCAACAAACTGAACTGAGCAAATGATGTGTGGAATATTGCTTCTCTCCATTAATGCAGAAAGAAATTCATACCGACCCCAGAAATGAAACAGAAAATTGTCTTGGATAGAGCAGAGGAGCTTTTGCCAGCATCTCCAGCGATTGAAGCAGGAGCCTTAGAGACCTCACCTAGTAACAATTATGTCATCAGGTATTTGAGCCCACTTTAATCACAGAACAGAATACAATGGTATAACATCCCACTTGACTACACCATAGGTTGAGGTAAGACAGCAAAGCCTCCTCCATCAATCTGGTTAGGACCAGCTGCCATTAGCCTCCACATCCCCCCAAACTGCCCCTCTCTGCAAAGCCATACCAAATCCATGTCCAGAGATAATGACTCACCAGACCTACAATACAGAACCTGTGGATCTCTGAATGTTGTTGGACACCACTTCCATTAGCTCCAGGTCCCCCAGCCAGCATGGCCAATGGTCAAGAGTGATGGTGGTTCAGAGTTCCTTTCCCTTCACTAGACTGTTCAAACTAAAAGTGTTTCTTTCAACTTCATATCATATACATTGGCACTGATAGATATTTTAAAATCAACATCTGGGACGAAGAATGAGTTTCAACGTTATGTATGCCTTATGTGCAATTAATTTATCAGATGATCATTTCCAATAAGGGCATTTAAAAGAATATTAGCAATACTCTCGTGAACTGTTGGACAAAGTGTAAGGCAGGGTGAGCAATTATGTAAAAAGAATACAACCTTGAACTTCCTCAGAAAAAGAAAAGAAAATGCATTTATTTGTGTGACTTCTACGCTTTTCTAATTTTCTTCCCCTGTGACAAATTATATCAATGGTAATAAAATGTGAGTAGCATAGAAAGGGAGCGCTCAGCAACATAAACATACTGAGCTATTAAGGTAGACAAAACATTAATTATTCATGCAGCCACTGCCATACATGGGGCAGATGTATGGAACTCTGTGCCGTTCTATTAATAATGTTGACATAGCTGTAGCTTTGGATCCCCCCCCCCATATAAACAAAGGTAATTGGGAATATTAACAGACTTTTGACATTGTTCTGTGGTGTCGACCCACACACCTGAACACACCATTGGTGACAGTTACTAATGTTGAGCATATATTGTTGTTGTTTTTCTTTTTCTTCTTTCATTCTTCAAGCCTTGCTGAACTCCGGAAAAGGGTCTAGGTTGGATTCTGTAAAGTTTGCCATTGACTTCCATATGCGTAATTCAACAAGGGGGATTTATCATATTATAACGATTCACACTGCAGTGGTAGATGGATGTCACCATGGGCTCCGAACCAGTGACCTTGAAAACTCATGAGTGATCATGGGGATGAATTCATGGAGGGTAGGTCTTTTGAGGCTATTAGCAACGAGCTGTGAATGAAGCTGATATGTTCAGAGGCAGTATATGTCTGGATTTTGAATCATGGGGAAGGAAAACAGTAATGCTTTCATCTTCATGCCCTGTTTCTGTGTGACCAGAGTGATCTATTTGGATGTTGCTGGCCTCAGAAGGGATGCAGATGTGTGTGTGTGTTATCCTATATACCCCTGGATAAAAGTGATAGCACCCTTTCCTCTGTGACAGCAGGGACAATGTTCAGCAACTACCTCCAGTACCCAATTCTCGAGTTAGCAAGGTATCTTGTTACAAATTTTAAGATAAAAGGTTGTAGATCCATTTAAATTAATGGACACAACTCAATTATAGCCATTCATTTCAATAGGTCTGCTCCCAGTAGAACCCAATCTTTGGCCCTTCTGGAATTGCTAAGAATGGCTATGGACAATGGCACCAATTCATCTCCAGATGAGGAACAGAATATATTTTATGAATGGAGCAACAGTCTCCCCAATTAAGATTCCCAGCAGCTGGTATTCAGAGGCACACCAACTCCCAACAGCGGAAGTAGTACACAGCTATTGTGGCTACGTACTATACTTTGCAATACATCTTCTGCTCTCCTGTCTGTTGCCAGAATGTTTATCTTTTATTTAACAAAATGTGCACGCCTCCTAACTGTAAATAAAAACTGCTAAGCAGTTTACAAGGGATGTAAAATAGACATTCAAATTGTTGAGTTAAAAATAATCAACATTAAAAACAAGTTTTTGAAAATGCAAAATGAATAAAATTGGCAGATAAATGTATACATTATAAGCTAAAATTACAAATTAAAACGCACAGCAACTTTACATGTCTAGGTAGGCTTGTTTAAACAGAAACATTTTAAGCAGGTGCCAGAAAGGGTACAGTGAAAGCAGTGTAGAAGGGCAGGCAGTTTTACAGCATAGGAGATCCTGTGTTAAGAGATCATTTCCTTACAAATGTGGAACAAATATTATGTGTAGTGGCGCCCTCCCTGTGGAACGCCCTCCTATCAGATGTCAAAGCGATAAACATTTACCTGACATTCAGAAGACATATTAAGGCAGCCCTGTTCAGGGAAGTTTTTAATGTGTGATTTTAGTGTATTTTTTGTTTCTGTGGAAGCCGCCCAGAGTGGCTGGGGAAACCCAGCCAGATGGGCGGGGTACAAATAATAAATTAAAATTATTATTATTATATGTGGCCCTTGTAGCACTCTGAGTTCTGCAGATCAAAGCCATCAGGCATATATGGGGTAAGGTAAGCCTTCTAGTAAACTGGTCCCAAGCTGCTATATACTCATAGTAAGACCTTGAACGCCACCCAGTAAGAAATTGGCAAATTTTGAGGGGAACTATTGGTTTGGCCCACACCAGTGATTATTAAATTCTTACCACCTCTGAATTGTTCAGCTTTGTCCCTGGGCAAGAAATGCTATTTAGATCTCTTTATACAAGGGGGGGGGGGGCATAGAAGAGAAGGTTTTTCAACATTTAACAATTTTGGTTTTTTCCCTTGGAGTCTCAGATAACACTCTTTGTGATAACCCAGCTGCCTCTGGAAGGCCCTTATCTAAATAGACTTTGTAGAACATCATTTTAAAAAGTCACATTAAAGGTTATTTATTACTCCCTTAGAAATGAATCTTTCTAGCATTTCTTCTTCTTCTCTTTGCTCTTCATTTCAGCCACATGATAAAAGCTAAAACCAACTTCAGCAATCCAATAGGTAGAACAGGAGGAGATGTAAGGGACTTGCAAATAGCATAAATTTGATTTTCTCCACAGATCATACTATAGTTGCTATAAAAAATTAACAGTTGAAGACAATTCTGTGGATCCGGTGGAAACTGGATTTGAACTATAGGATCACAATGCCTCAAGGACTGCATCCACCTGTGTGAACCGACCCAGACCCTGCAATCATTATCTGAGGCCCTTCTTCATGTGCCCCCTCCATGAGAGGTCAGGAGGGTAGCAGTATGTGAACAGGCCTTTTCTGAAGTGGCTCAGGAAGTGCAAGTGCATGAAACCTGCTGCAAGGAACACATGATACAACATTCACTTGCTTGCCCTTTCCGTTTGAAGTAATTACTTATACATTTGAATCTATGCCTATTATTTATTTTAAAAATTTCTATACTGCTGCCACCTTGGGCTCCATTGAAAGGAATGATGGGGTATACATTGAAATCATCACCACATCTACTTCTTCATCATCCATGTTGCTCCTGGTCTATCAAAAGAAAAACAGGAAATAGGGTTTCAATCTGCCTCAGATAGGATTACATTTCTCTTGAAGACATGCATTTTCAATTCATCTCTCCTCCTGGATTCAATCCTGAATATGGATGCCCAGGTTTTCACAGTGGCCAAAAGCACTTTTGCACAGCGGTAAAATGTGAGACCTGGCCACAGATGTATTGTGAATGTAATGTTATCCTGTGTGGTCTTTGACAGCAATAAAGATTGATTGATTGATTGATTGATTGATTGATTGATGTAATATTATCAAATCTGCCAACCATGTTTACATGAGTGTAACATACAATCTTCAACATTATTTTGCCACTTCCTCCACACTTCTTCTTCCCCTTTTGTGCACAAATCCATCTTCCCATTTTAACTTTTAGAAACAGCTGTGGTGATCTCAACAGCTTCATAAATATTTTCACTCATAACCTTCAGCTCAAATCAGTTTGCAAACCTGCTGCTACATGCAATCACACACTGTGGATTGGAATGAACCATTATTCACACACACACACACACACAAATGTCACTGCAGACGATGGTTAGCTGAAACCATTAAAGGGAGTGGAACATTTGCTTCCAAAGAGAGAGGAGAAAGAGGAGGAGGGTGTGAATCTTCAGGACATTCCAGATTGCCTAACCATGGTTCAAGCAATATGGCTGCATCAATCCTTACATCATTTTGCCACTGAGATGATTGAAAATACTGGTTTGAGTTAAATTAAGATGAGAGAATAAGAGGGAGGGAAAGAACTCTAGACCCTTATTTATATTTTGCTCTGAGTATCTTTGTGAGCAAAGAGATTGCAGTGATACATATCAAAAGGGCACAGGAATAATCACTGCTAAGTTTCATATATTCTGGTCATGAAAAGCATTTGATATGGAGTGGGGAGGGGGAAAATATCTGCTTCATTTTTCTTAATCCACATGTGGCAAACTGCTGAGAGGAGCTTTTCAAGGGCTGCAATTTAAATGAAAATAAAATACCGATAAAAGATGTTGATGAAGACTGGTAAGGTAAGAAAAAGCAATATCTTAAAGACTGAAAAATATTAACTCTCTTCTAAAGAGGGGAAGCAGGTTTATATCTAATGCCATGCTTGCATCCACAGCAGTATGCGGATGGGATAGGTGGGCAGGGGAAATGACTGGCTGCAATATTCAGTCATCACTGGCTGGTCCAGCATCAGGCTGGGGGGCAGGCACTCTGGTGTCACCCACCCTCTGTGGTGTGCCATGCTTGTAGTGACAGGCAGGTCACAATAGCAGCATGTGCTGGTTTGCTGTGAATTGCTGGTTCAGTTTCCCAGAATGATGTTGCCAAAGAGGTAGTGAAATTCACCAGTTTGGATGACTTTTAAGGGTTTTTTTTGAAAAAACCATGGAGGATAAGGCTATCAATGTCTGCTAGACACAATGGCTGTGTTCTTTGTCCTCTGTTGGGGCATTGCTGTGTGGCATTAAAATGATGGTTCCCAGGGCGAAGTTATTTTGGAGACTTTGTGAATAAGTAAAATGTTAGAAGCCTCAGAGACTTAGCTACCATGTGCGGTGGTGGGGCAAAGGAGGTAGGAGTGGGGTCAGCTGCAACATTCCAAGACTGCAAGGTCTTTCCCTAGATTTTAGGGGGGAAAGCAAGCAATTGAAAATACTCATTTGAGGACCAGAGCGGGGGGGGGGGGCACTGTTTAGATAGGCTTCAAGACCTGAGCAAACTTAGGATACTGAAAGCAGGAAGAATTCTGAATTTGCTAAGGTAGGACCTAGGAAACAAGGTGTATTAATTATTAAACACCCTATATTAAGGAGACAGAATCCCCCCCGGCCCTGTAACCTCCAAGTAAGGTCAGCTCACCTATTGATATGGGCAAAAACAGACATTTGCTGAACTGAAAAATAACAACAACAATCTTTATTACGGTCCAGAGACCCAACAAAACATTACAAATCAATACAGAGTTCATACAGCCTATGGGAGATCAGATGAGTTTATGATGATAATGGGAGTCAGGGCAGCAGAGAAAGGTAGCTGCGTATTCAGTTCATAATGTATAGTTCATTTGTTTTGTATTGTATTGTACTTTTATTTATTCATGAGTTAACCATCTGCCATAATTCCCATATCCAGTATCGTACAGCAGTTGTATATAACAAAGCCATCAACCTAAGTATATATCATACAATTTAGCCATGCATATTCAGTAACAAGATAATATAAAGGGACATAAGTAATCTCCAAGTCATTTCATTAGCCCTTTCAGATTCTCCATAAATCAGGATAAAGAAAGATAATAAACACAATAACATCCTGCACTTTTGCCTTGAAAAAGCCACCGAATCAGTTAACAAGATTATTAAACAACATGACATCACACAAGGGTTTTTCCATCCCTGCCCCCACCCCCCTGCACATGATGCCCAAGTTTTTTGGGGGAGGGGGGAAGAAAATAGTAACAAATGGGGTAAATTTCTATGAGACAATCTCAGGTTTCAGAAAAAAATTCTCCTGTATGTTTCTTTACAGTGTCCACCCACCCCATGATACATATGCAATGTATTGTACGGAAGTAACTGTATTAGATTCTGTGGAGGGGTAACCACCGTAGAGGTAAAAACTAAGAGAAGGTAAGGGAGCAGTGGCAGCTGGAGGATGATGATGATGATCTTATCTGTACCGCCCTCCACCCAGCTGGTTTTCCCCAGCCACCCTGAGCAGCTTCCAACATATACAAAACCCCAATAAAACATTACACTTTAAAAAGACTCCCCTAAACAGGTCTGCCTTCAGATGTCTTCTAAAGATCACTCATCACTTTGATATATTATGGGAGGGTGTTCTACAGTGTGGATGCCACTATTGAGAAGGCCCTTTGCATGGTTCCCTGTAGTGAGGGAACTGCCAGAAGGCCATTGGAGCTGGACCTCAGTGTCTGGGTTGAACAATTGGGGTGGAGATGCTCCTTCAAGTGTACAGGGCCGAAGCCATTTAGGGCTTTAGGGTAAATGCAGGCACTACCCCACCAATATCTGCTTCTCAGCCAGTCCCCACCTGCCTGTCTTCTTATTTACAACTAGTCCAGGGGTGATGCTGCTAGCCAGCTTCCTCTGCTACCTAATTTTTAGATTTTGCTCATTTTTATTCTGTCCCCATTCAGTATAATAGAACATCGCTCCATTTACTTCCTTCTTGGATTTTAAGAATCCAAGGGTTTGTAAAACTTGTCTCTTCTTTGAGATAGTCTTTGATGAACCTTGTGTGGTGGTTGTCTTCTCTCCCTGACTTCAGATTGTGCATGGGCATATTTTTCTCTGATCCCATCCAGCTTAATGGAACACTATTCCATACTTTGCCCCACCCCCACCACAGCTCTGATTTTAAGACCCCCCAAGGCTTTTAAAGCTCTTTTGTTCTTTGTGGTGTTCTTTGATGAGAGACTCAAGTCTTTTCCTTCCAAGCCCTATTCAAATAGCTTTGTCAGTTCCCATTAAATAAAAATGAAAATCCCTTTAAATTGTTGTCTTATAAAGGACCCCATCAAATGCTTTACCAATTACCCTTGCCAGGTCCTATTGGATCTGCAGAGGGTCATCAAAAATGGGGCCAAGTTTTGGAAAGATGTTCCCTGACCACAGAAGAAAAGGCCATCTCCCACTAACTGGCCCAACATAACTCAGGAGGCAGTGGCATGCTGAAGACAGCCACTGATGCTTATCTATGGATATAGTCCTTAAGATAGTAAAAAATTAAAAGAGTGCTTGCACTGGAAAGCATCTGTGCATCCCAAGATGACAAAAGCGGTGTTCAGAAGTTACATTCAATGTGTGCATAATCTGTGTACCTCTGTACAGTGGTGCCTTGCAAGATGAAATTAATTCATTCCACAAGTTTTTTCGTCTTGCGGTTTTTTTCATCTTGCGAAGCACGGTGTCGGAAAAGTTTTGGAAAAGCTTCAAAAATCACCAAAGTCTTCAAAAACCTCAAAAAAGGCTACCACACCGCGTGCTCCACACCGCGTGCTATGAGTTGCTCCTCGAAGTCAAGTCGCAACTGTATTAACGGTTTTAAGAAAAAGGAAACAAACTTGCAAGACGTTTCCGTCTTGCGAAGCAAGCCCATAGGGAAAATAGTCTTGCGAAGCAACTCAAAAAACCAAAAACCCTTTCGTTCTGCGAGTTTTCCGTCTTGCGAGGCATTCGTCTTGCGAGGTACCACTGTATACAGATAGTTGAGCTGTACATTTGTACAATTATTTAAGTGCAACATTCAAAGAATATATAAGAGCTGAGCTGTACAAATCAACAAGTGTACAGAGTTTCACATAAACACTTGTACATGTGTAGAGACAGGTTGTACCTGTGTTCAGTGTAGCATGTGAACAAGTTTCCAACATCTTTTTCAGGGCAGTTTTCTCCCTGCCCAGAATAGTGAGAGGCAGGAGTGCCAGCTTGGCCCCACGAACGTGGGTGCCCGGGGCTGTGGGTGCCATGCAGTGTGCATAGCCCTGGCACTGAAATTTGTGGGTGGCTGGCCCCTTCATGGGGAATTTTGTGGGTGCTCAGACAGCAGACCAAACCAGAAGCAGACTGCCTCTGCTGGGTTGAAGTGCCCTTACACAGGAAAGGAGTGATAGGTGTTTTTTGGGGGGGTCGAAATTCTACAAGAATAAATGCACACTGCATGAAATACTGAAACTCACTTGTTGCCTCCACCAGAACATTGTCTGGAAGATCTAGGGAAACCAAGCAGGTCACCTCATTTGGCAAAGATCCTGAAAGAAATTTCCTAACACAGATAACCTTCTCTTCTTGTGAGCCTTGGGCCACTCTATCAATTGGATGATGCAACTTCCTGGACAGTACTTGGACAAAGTTATCTTCATTGTTGCATTTGTTCTAGGTTCCAACTTGGTCTATATAGTTATTTGTCTTTCAGCTACCTGAGTGGAATGTAATGGGGAGGAGAGAAAGAAAGCAAACATGAATAGCAGGTGGGACTTTTAGAAGGATAGGAAGTTGCTTTATACTGAGTCGTTGCTTGATCTAGCTCAGTGCTGTCTACACTGTCTGGCAGCTGTTTTCCATGGTTTTAGGCAGGGTTCCTTCCCAGTCCTACCCAGATACAGCAGGGATTGAACCTGGGACGCTCTGCATGATCCACTCTTGTGGGATATCTTTTGATTCGTCTTCCCCTTG